GCCTTCTTCACATTTTCTAATTCTCTTTTGGATATTGGTTATTAAATGCAGCATCATGGCCACCACTGCTTTTTGTAGTTTCTGCTTCTAATGTTGACCTGGTAGCCCCTTTAAGACTGACAGTATGAGTATAATTTCAAAACATATAAAAGAATGTTGGGAATTTTTGTCTGCATTTCCTATTTGGTTACACTTTGGGTTTCACTATTTTCTTTCCTTGAAGGAAAAAATATTCCTGAAATTAATGAGCTTCTTTAGGAAGTTTCTGACATATAGATACCTAAGTGTGGGACTCATGAATAAATTATGCCAATCCCTGCTGGCTTTAAAATTTGTATAATCTTCTTCAAGAAGTTTGGTAATTTCTTTTAACGTTTTAGGTAAGTAGCACATGATTATATTCTCATTGTAAAAATTCAAATAATATAGAAAAATTTAGTGTAAAAAAGTAGAAGTCTTTAAGCAACCCCTAATTCTCAAATTGAGTTGCCCTCCCCAAGGAAAGAACTCTGTGAGGTATGAACCTTCCAGACTGTTACCTGGGATTTATGCACACATATATGTGTGTATACCAATTACAGAGTTTTACATACAGTAAATCATTATGTACATACTCAGTAACTTTTTCTCATAACAATTTGTTTTGGAGATCTTCCCATGTGAGTTCCCTAATGGTGGACATTTAGGTTGTTTCTAATTATTTGCTCTTACAAACAGTGCTATAATTAACATCCTTGTAAATGTCTCTTTGTGCATATGGGCAAGCATTTCTTTAGGGTAGCTATCTATGGTTTGGCAATTTCTACTGCCTTTAATTGCATTGCCTGTTATCTGGCAGACGATCTTCTGCATGTACAATAACTTTTCATGTCCGTGCTCCATTATAGTGTAAGTTTTAAAAAGATGTTTTAGGCAACAATTAGGAATCTAAGTTTAAGTTCAAATTCTGTATGGATTGCTGTGGTCAGCTGAGGTGATGCCTGAATGAACAGATACCTCTCCACATTGCTAAGTTCACACATGCACAGGCAATTGTGTTGAGTAGCAGGTAAGGTTACCCCCCCCCCATTCCCTTACAACATCCATTGTGACTTATATCATGATTTTTAAAACATTAAAATATGGAAAAATGCATCTTAGAATTGAGGAGTTACAGTATTTTATTCCCCCCCAATCAATAGCCCATTGCTCCACCTCTGTGTTGAATGGTACTTTCCCTGCAAGTTGATACACCTGCTTTGCCACCAAATTTCCCCCAATGGTGTGTATGTTGCCGGACTGGGATACTGCATCTACTTGTCTGTTCTGTGCTTTTTCGAAGGGCGAGCTCCCTTGGTGTCTTCTTTTCGAGAACTTTCTTGCACATTTATCTTTCTGTCTACTGCTCCTTCTTCTCCCCCACACTGTCCCTTTTACACTGGGTGCTTCATTAGCTGTTCACAATCTGCATGATTTTGCATCGCACTGGGTTAGATGTGAGAACATCTGCAGCAGTCAAGAGCATATTTTCCTCAGGACTTGACACTGAGCTTGCCATCAGCGTGAAGCAATCTTTCTCTCTCATTCCGTGACATCGCCCAGCATTGCTGCTCCAACATCAGTTATGCCTGAGTCTTGAATGGTGTCAATCTGAGTTGAAAATGTGCCAGCTTTCTTAACATTATCACTAACAGACTGCTTAATTAACCTGCTGATACCGTCAATAATAGATCTTGCTGGTGTGTTAGAAAGGAGACCCATGGCCCATGATTACTTGCTCTCTCTCTCTCACTTGTTTAGGCTCCTAGTTTCCCTGTCTTGGGAGCTGGACTTACAGTAGTGAGATGGGAAGGACCAGGGAATGTTTGAAAGGGGTACGGCAGAATTGAAAGTTCCGGATGAGATCATGGAAATGAAGTCAGTGTAACAGACTTCATTAATCAAAGGCAGAAATGGGTGGAAGCCTGTACATACAGCAAGTGCTCAATAGGCAACCAGAGTACACAGCCAGCAGAAGAGATTACAGGGCATGTGCCACCTGAGTCGGCAGTAAGCACCTTGCTGTTCCACGGGAGGAGCCTGGGGGTTGCCATCATTTTGAGATGGTTCTTAGGGTTTTCTCTGTCTTTTTTCCATCCAGTCAGCTCAGATGAGAAGAGGTCATTTTCACCCCCAAAAGTGTCCTAGAGAGGCTGTCTGAGGGGAAGGTGTCTGGGTTTTCACTTCTTTCATGCTTCACCTTTTGTCTCAAGTGGTTTTGTGTTTGAACCAAAGTCCTGCTCTGTCCTGCTATCTGAACATTTCACATTTGGAAATTGGGGAGAATAAGCAGGATTCCACCATGAGCCTGGGGCTTGTGCACCACCACCTCCAAATCTACATCCCTTGTCTTATTTTGTCTTCCCTAAACATGTTCAAAGTGGGGTCTAGAGATGCTTCAGTTGTCCCTGGCTTCCTGTGACCTGGCCTGGGTGCTGTGCAGAGGCTGACATTCCATGTGAGCTCAGCCAGTGCCCAGAGATCACATGGAGACCCTAAATGCTGCCCTTTCTTTTATACTCTAGGAAGCCGAGCTGAAGTGGGGTCGGTAGCCCCTGACCTTAGGAGATGCTCATCCCCTGGACCATGTTCCCGTAACCTTACCTTACCTGGAACAGTGCTGGTGGTGGTGTGGTAGAAGGGTTCTCAGAGTGCGGGAACTGATGCCTTTCAGGGCAGAAAATCCTGATATCTTCTCCAAGGGATTTCTTGGGTCTCCTGGGAACCAAGAGCCCAGCAGCCCCAGGGCCGTGGGGGATGCAGAGCATCCCTGCCACCACTAGAGGGCGTGTCACCAACACAGAGGCCGGGTGCCGGCTTCCCAAGGCCACCCTGGGGGGCTCTTCTGGGCCTGAGCCCTGGGGACCCAGGAACTGGCAGGAGGTGACCTCTGGGGGTAAGAAGGGAGCGATACAGAGCCAGGACTGGAACCTAAACCCAGATGGCTCCAAACCCACGCTCCCAACCTCTCCTCCAGGTCATTCCCTGCTGCTCTAAATCTCCTTTATCTCAGATTCACCTTCCTAATTCTGGTTGTGGTTAAAACAAAGCTTTCTAATGCCAGCACTACTGGCATTTTGGGCTGGATAATTCTTTGTAGCGGGGGCTGTCCTGTGCACTGTAGGGCAGTTATCAGTGGCCACGGCCTCTACTCACTAGATGCAACCCCACCCCCACCCCAAATCGTGACAATAAAAAATGTCTCCAGACATGGCCAAATGTCTCAGAATCGCTTCTGGCTGAGAGCCACTGTTTTAAGACAGGTGAGTGCGCCTGCTGTGAGGACAGGAGGGGCTCAAGGCTGAGTCGCAGCCGCAGAGGATCTGCCGTGGTTACCACTGTGCTGCATGTCGTGTGGAAACAGTAGAGATGCTCAAAGATGACATATGTGCTCTAAATACATGTTAGAACTCTATCTGGGCTCCTGCTTTTTTTCTCCAAAGACTGCAGAGCCTCTCGGTCTTCCCCTCTGTTTATTCCACCTCCCCACTTTATTGAAACAGGAGACTGAGGCTTACAGACCCCCTGGAGTCTCAGGCCACCCCTTGCCTGTAGAACTCTGTCCCCAGCTGTGAGCACCCTGGCCACTCGGCTCCCCAGCTATTGGCTTGGGCACCAGGAGCATCTGTGGTCTCCCTCCCACTCTGCCTGCCCCCCCGGCCCTGCCGCCCTCCAGCTCCCCAAACCCTGGTGCCCCCCCCCACTGGAGGGAGGGGGAAGCAGCAGGTGTTGATGCTAATCAGCGTTCACAGCCCAGAACTGCAGTCGCTCCCAGGCTCACACACTCCCCAAAATTAAACACTCATTATACAAAATTAATTGACATTAATTAGCAAAAATTAAAACTTTAAACACAGCAAGGCGCTTTGGGGGGAGGAGTGAAGCAGGCAGGCTCTTCATTTGTCACCCCCCACTCCCCACCCGCCTACCACCCCCAAGTCCCCCCACTTTCATCCTGAAGCAGAGCTGGAGGAGTTCAGGCAAGGTCAGCACCAGCACCCAGCCACGGGCCCAGGCCCAGCCTTGTGAGTCCCAGGCCAGGGGAACAGAAAGACACTCCCTGTGCTAGTTGCCAGTTGATGGGTGGCCCCCAGACTTCAGCACCCAGTGCTTAATCAAGAAGCCAGAACCCTCCCCTCAGCCTAAATCCTCAAGATCTCAGCTGAAACAGGGGCGGGGGGTGGGGGGAGGAACCGGTATGGCCAAAGGAAGGAACTCAGTCATCAGAACAAGAACACAGAGGGGCTGCCTTTTACTCTGCCTGGCCCCCACATCCCTCCCCAGGCTGATGGGCAGATGGGTTCCCAGAGGCTTGGACACAGTAGCCTTTCCACACTGTCCCACTTTGCTGTGTGACCTCAGATAAGTCACACCCTCTCTGAGCCTCAGTTTTCCATCCATATGATGAGGGGGTGGTGCTGGGTGAACACTGAGGTTCCTGCCTGCTCTGGCACCTGCTGTCAGGGAAGCAAATCTCTGGAAACTGGATTCGCTCTAAGGCATGAGGGGCTGAATGTGAGGACAGGCATTTCAAGAGGATGGGGCAGGCCAAGGGACTGAGTCATTGATGGTGAAACATCAGGCCCCAGTGGGGCACCTGTCTTCAGGCCGAAGAGCCCTCCCAGACAGGCATGCACTTGGCCTGCCTCCGGCCTGCCCCACAGGAGAGAAAGCAGCACCCTCGCTAGGCGGCCGCTCTCTAAGCCCTGAACGGTTTCTTCCCTAACACTGGGTAGTCTCCACCTTTGCTCACCAGGTCCCCAAGGGCCCCCACATCCCTCCCCAGGCTGATAGGCAGATGGGCAACAGAACCACACCTTCCCCCGCCTTTGCCCACTGCATTTGAACGTGGGCTTAGCATTGGCTCAGAACCCATGTGGCTCTGGGGAGGGAGGCTTGCGGGAGGGAGGAGCCCAGCGCCCTCCCCAGGTGGGATGCCTTCCTCCCCTCACACTTGCTCCTTGTACCCCCTTTCTCTCCAGCCAGTGCCAATATCTGCAACGTGGTCCTGATGCGGTACGGGGAGCTGGAGGAAGGGATTGACGTCCTGGATGCTGATGGCAACCTTGTGGGCTCCTCCAAGATCGCAGCCAGACATGTGGGTGGCCCTGGGGTCCCCAGGGGCTGGGGGGGAGGCCAGCAGCAGGGAGGGGGTTGGTTTTCTCATGATTTGTTCATTCCTTGGGCTTATACCCACAGCCCCATGGTCTCGTCCTCATGAGTCTCCCCCTCACCATGTCCCCATCTGTGTGAGCCCCAGGCCATGTGGTCTGGCCCTGACCAAGCCTGTCCTACTGGACAGACCCTCACTTCTCCAGCCTCTCCTCCCAGCACTGCTGTGAAACGTCCCATCTCTTGTCCTAGCCCCTCAGGACCCAGCTTCTCGGATCACCTCACCCAGACGAGGTGTTAATTGGTGAGGGCAGAGGAGACTCCCCAGAACTTTCTCCCCACTCCCCAGGACCCAGGGCCCTGCCTCCCTGGGCTTTCACATCCTCTTGGGTAAGAGGAGGAAGCCTGGGGGATGAGCAGTGTATGGTTCTGGGTTAATAGGCATGTCTGCAGGTGATACCTCACCAGGGAGTGGGTGCGGTGAGGTCAAGGAACTTCAGGCTTGCAGAGGCCACCAGGTGGTTGGAGAATATTTTGTTATAAGAAGACCTTCTTTAACCTCTGGTTTCACTGGTCCTGCCCACTCTAGCACTTGTAATTTTTTAAAAAATTCCAGCCCATGTGTACGTCTTGTGCCTTCCCAGCCTTCACCTTTGTGGCTTGTCCTGCTGCTCTGGGCTCTGGCCTCTGAGTGTGGGAATGGGGCAGGTCAGCAGTGAGGTAGCTGAGCATTCACCCTGCTCCAGCCACTGTCCCTCATCAGCTCCCACATGGGTCCCAAACCCTGCCCCTGTCCATAAGGCCGCCTTGATAAGTCCTTGATCTGGGAAGAGCCCTCTCCAAGCCAGTGCCCATCCAAAGCTTGTGGGGGCAAGGGGCTGGGGATGCCCTGCCAACACTGCACCCTCTACTCCAGCACTGGCTCTAGGCCCTCCTGTCATTCCCACGCTTATGCAGGACACTGGAGGGACTTTCTCCCGTGTCTTCCTGAGGCTGATCATGAAGGGCCCATGTTCCTGGGAGAAATGTTCAGCCCTGAGAAGTGTTCATCTGATGGGATTTAACCTCAGTTTCCTACTTGACCCAAGCCTCCTTTCCCAACCCCATCCTTTTCCCCAGCCCCTGTGAGGGCAGGCAACCATGAGAACCCCTCCTCCCAGTGCCACAGAACAAGGAAACCCAAGCTCTTCTGCAGCCCAGGTTCCTTCAGCCTGCCTCACTCAGTTCCTTGCTGTCTGGAGAAAGACTCCAGGGATTTGTGGACAGTGAGCCATTTCTGGAGCCTCCTCTGAGGACTGGGAGCCCATGGGGTTAAAGGAACTCCCTACTTTGGCCATCAGAGCACAGAATTTCCACTGAGCTGTGCCCAGGATTGTGACCCCATCCCCCAGGAATCCCACTGGGGCTCCCAGAACAAGGCCCCAGAGAGACCCCCTCATGCAAACCCTGTAGACGCTCAGCAGAAGCATGGCTCCTTTATGAAGCCAATCTCTTGTTACTGTTACAGAGCCAAGGGATGCATGGTCTTCTGAATCTTTGTCTTTAATGGATGTCATTAAAAAAAAAGGAAGAAAGAATGAAAAGAAAAAAGTTAATCCCAGAATCTCTGTCCTCCCTCAGCACCATGAGCCTCACGTGGCTCAACAGGCCCAGCTGTTTGTTCTGGTCTTTCTAGCACCTGCTTTGTTTTTAGAGCATCTCCGGTCCTCCATATGCTTCTCCCAGTCCCTGCACGTCCTGGGTAGGGGAGGCTGCACCCCGCCACCCGCAGCACCTTTCTGAGCACAGACCCCTTCCTGGGGCTGCTTCTGCCTCGCTGCCCCTCCCCCACACATGCAGGTGATGGGAACCTGCTCTTTTCAAATGTGTGTGGTAAGAAGACGGGGGTGGCTTTTTTCTGTTCGGAATAAGGCTTCGTGAACAATTCCATGAATAATTCCGTTCAGCCAGATGTGCTCAGCAGTGGCACACACACCTTGGGGCCCCGTGGTGGGGTTGCCACCATCTGCCACCTGGGAGCCCCTCTCACCCAGCCTCTACTTGCCCTCAGGCCCTGCTGGAGACAGCGCTGACGCGAGTGGTCCTACCTATGCCCATCCTGGTGCTGCCCCCCATCGTTATGTCCATGCTGGAGAAGTGAGTTCGGGGCAGCCAGGACTGTGGGGGGGAGGGCAAAACAGAAGGGGGACTGGCCAGCCCAGGGCAAGGGACAAGGGAGCAGCTAGTAGTCTACTCCAGTTTGTTCAGAGGGTAGAAAGTGTCCTGCTCCATTTTCAGACTCCTCCAGACAGTGCTCCTGGAGTCATCTCATGAGAATTCATGGACTTTTACTATGCAGGACCCTGTGTTATCAGGGATATCCCAGTGGACAAGGCTGCCCCTGCCCAGAGGACCTGGCAGTTCGGGGGAGGGAGAGGGTCTGTGTGTGCATGTGTGTGTCTCTGTGAGTGTTCATGTGTGTGAGGACAGAGTCCGATTTGAGCCAGCACCTGCCCTTGTAGGCACCTACCATGAAACAAATCACCATCTCACTGAGCCTCAGTTTCCCTGCCTCCCTCAGAGGACACATATTTGTTATGACTCTAAAGAGATAAGGGAACATAATAATGATAACAGAGTGATTCTCTTAATAAGTGTGAAATTAGATTGTGAAGACTGAAATGCTGCTTAGAGGAGATGCTGAGCAGAGAGGGCAGGAAGAACCAGGCTGACCTTCCTGGAGGTTTGGGCAGGCCTTGGGTTAGGGTGGGCCTGGGAGAATGGCTAAGGGTAGGGAAGGTCAGACCCCTGGCTTGTGCAGGTGACAGTGAGGAGGTGATCACTCCCTCCCTCCTGAGAGCCCCACCCAGTGGGGGCACCTCAAGGTAGTGGTTGAGATTGGGAGCAGTGTAGGGTAAGAACAAGGTTAGGGGCACTCCCTCTGGGGTTCTGGGGCAGGGGCTTCTCCTCAGTTTGGGCACCTTCCTATTCCCACAATACTAATTATAATAACTAACATTTATAGGGCACTTACCACATCTCAGTCAGGTCTCTGCCCAAATGCTGCTTCCCACAGAGGCCCTCCCTGACTGCCCCATCAAGAGAACAGCTGCCATTACTCCCTCCTGGCCACCTGCCTTCTCACAGCACTTAAGTATCTGAGATTGTTTCTCTAGTTGTTTATTATCTCTATGCTCTAGTAGAATGTAATCTCCACGGATCAAGTAAATCCTTTTGTTTACTACCCTTTGTAGCATCTAGCACCGTTCCTGGCACATAGTAGATGGTCAGTGTTTGTTGAATGAATGAGTGAGTGAATGAATGAATGCTGTCATTTAACCCTCACAACCCACAACGAGGTAAGTATGATATACCCATTTTGCAGATGAGGAAGGGAAAGCAAAGAGAGGTTATAGCATGTGCTTACGGTCAGACACCAGGAAATGGCAGAGCCAGGGCTGACTCAGAAGTATGGCTGCAAAGCCTGGGCTCTTCATACCACACTGGCTGCCTCTTGGGTCTTCAGGTCATATCACATAATCAGCATGTGTTTGGGTCCTGACCTGTGTGGAGACAGGAAAGAGCAGATTTGGAGCCTGACATCAGGAGGTGTGTATTTTTATAAGGATTTGGGCAAGACCCATGCACAGGTCAGCCTCAGGTGAGACCAGGCAGCATGTTATGCGTGAACAGGGCCAAGGCCAAGGCAAACTGAGAGGAGAGAGCACTATGGGCCCAGCAGACGGAGGTCTGGTCTCTGGAGAGGGGCTGGGCTGACCCTGAGAGTAGGAGAGGCTTTTTGTGGAAGGGAGGGCTTTTGGGGCAGGGTATAGGCCTGTTGGGTGGACACTGAGGAGTCCAGCCTGGCTAAAGCAAAGTGTGCTTATTATAGTCAGCTGATGAGGGGCCCTGTGTGCCCAGCCAAGGAGATGATCCCTCTCCCACCCTAGCAAGGGGTGGGGTCTCTGGGGGTACCTGAGCAGTGGCATGGCATATTGAGCACTAGAACTTAAGAAAAGTAATCTGGTGTGGAAATTTGCAACAGACAAAAATAAACAGATCCTAGGAGGATAATCACTTTTGTGCCCCTGACCCTTGTATATGTAGCCCCCTTGTGAACTGAGGTTGTCCCCCAAATACCAGTGACCGCAAGTACAAACAAAGGGACAATGGGACAAATGAGGAAGATTGGGCTTCTCTCTTTGAGACTGCTGAATCCTGAACCTTGGACTTGTGAAGCAGGTTCACCGTGTACCAAGTTATTCTATCACTTGCGTGAGTCTGGTGACACAGAACACTGACATGACAAGTTAAGCAAAGCAACTCTATGATTCACAGATAGCCATCAGGGGACAATGGAAGCCTAGGATTCGTGGTGAGCCAAGGCTCAGGAAAGCTGTCTAGGGAGGATGGAGTTTCACCTGCCCATCCCCGTGTCGCACAGCAGCTGAGGGACCCCTTAAGCACTCTGTGCGCCACTTGGATTGCTGGGCTAGAGTTGTAGGACATCCTGTTCTAGGAAGTAGAACAGAGCCTGGGCTCTTCTGACAATCCCTCCTTATCTCAGGGTGTTGCGTTCTCAGCATCTTCTACAGTTATCCTGAGGACTACAAGTGGTGGGTGCAGGATCTGGGTCAGCCAAAGCCATCTGGGGACCTGTCCTACAGGAATTTGCTAGGGAAAAACATGGCCTTTGATGCCTCCCCAGTTGGCATCTGAGTTGAGTTTGCAGAAAGTGGAATGATGGTTAGTGTCCCATTGGTTTGGGGCCTTAAACTTGGCTTTGGGAGTCGTGGGAGGTGGAATGGAGATTATTCTAGTTCTGAACTTCCTCAGCGTGGGGTCTGCTAAGACTCTGGGGTACCACATGGTCTGGCTCAGCTCAGGGTTCAAAGAAACCCCTCGGGTAGGATAGGAAAGGTTAGCCTTTTGGTGCTTCCCTGGAGCTCCTGGGAGGGTCTCTGGAGAGAAGAGTCCAGTCTGGGTTTCCTCAGGAGTATCAGGATGAATAAGATCCAGTTTATGCCCTCAAAGACATACTAATCTCACATATGCCCTGGAACTACAGGACTGTGTAGTAGGAGAGGCAGGGCAATGCAGCAGAGAGATCTGAGACGTCTGGTAGGAAAATGAAATCTAGGTTCCTGCTGCACCACTCTCTGCCAACCTGATGTTGTCATGGAGTCTCCCTCAGCCTCAGTTTCCCACCTTTAAAATGAAGATACTGCCCCTTCCTCACCTTGCTCATTGGGGCTTTGCATTTTGCCCCATCCAGCAGCTCTTTGGCTCTTTGCAGGGGCCCTGCCAATCACCCCACAGCCTTTTGGTGCTGGTGTGCTAGTGTAGGGCTTCTGCTGAGGAGGCTGATGCAGGAGGCAGCCCCCACCCTTGGGGGGCCACAGTGGGTGAGGGAGTCAGGATAGCCAGGAAGAAAGACAAAAGAACACTTACAAAGCAGCCTAGTTGCAAATTAATGGAGCGCAAACGAAAACTGCTCCAAGTGCTGAAGGAATGCACAGCAATGGGGGAGACAAGCTGTCGTATGGCGGTGGGCTGGGACCAGGCTTACTTGCCTCTGGCCTCAGCTTATTCTCTCTTGGAGGAGCACTCAGAGCCTGCGTTTCCTGCTAGGATAAGAAAGCAGTGGGAACTCAGCATGCCCAGTTGTCCTTGACTCTGAGACTGAAAGGAAGAGTCTCAAGACAGAAGCAGAGGAGTGTCTCCCCGGGCTTCCTCACCCGAGCACTGGGCTGCCTCTGAGGGCATTTGTCCTTGACTCTGAGACTGAAAGGAAGAGTCTCAAGACAGAAGCAGAGGAGTGTCTCCCCAGGCTTCCTCACCTGAGCACTGGGCTGCCTCTGAGGGCACGGACACACACACAGGTAGTGTCCCCATGCTCTCTACTAGGGGCTGCAGAGGGTCACACCCCACACCCTCCCTGCAGCAGAACTTCACCAGCCATGCTGTGGAGGAAGCTAGTTTTAGATTCAGGGCTGGGATTAGCCCCCCAAATGTAATCCCCCAACTCAGAGGCAGGTGCCTGTGCTGGATCAGGAGGTCTATAGCTCACTCCCCACTGCCCACCCCCAGCCCTGCATCTCCAGCCCTGGGATGGGGGGAGGAGGGGCAAGGCACCAGGCTGGGACTGAGCTGGGTTGGGGTCCAGGCTATACCCTCATGGTGGGTTCCTGAGTCCACTCCCCCAGCCTCCTTCAGTCTCTGGGATCCGGGTCTTTCCTTTCTCCCAGGCATTCACACATCTCTCCATCTGCATATTTTAACTCCCTCTGCTGCCTTTCCCATCCCTCCCTGCCATCTCCCTCTCCTCCGCCCCTCCCCCTGTCCTGCTGTGTTCACTCTCCTGCCTGCTCTGGGCTGGGACTTCTGAGGNTAGGATAGGAAAGGTTAGCCTTTTGGTGCTTCCCTGGAGCTCCTGGGAGGGTCTCTGGAGAGGAGTCCAGTCTGGGTTTCCTCGGGAGTATCAGGATGAATAAGATCCAGTTTATGCCCTCAAAGACATACTAATCTCACATATGCCCTGGAACTACAGGACTGTGTAGTAGGAGAGGCAGGGCAATGCAGCAGAGAGATCTGAGACGTCTGGTAGGAAAATGAAATCTAGGTTCCTGCTGCACCACTCTCTGCCAACCTGATGTTGTCATGGAGTCTCCCTCAGCCTCAGTTTCCCACCTTTAAAATGAAGATACTGCCCCTTCCTCACCTTGCTCATTGGGGCTTTGCATTTTGCCCCATCCAGCAGCTCTTTGGCTCTTTGCAGGGGCCCTGCCAAGCACCCCACAGCCTTTTGGTGCTGGTGTGCTAGTGTAGGGCTTCTGCTGAGGAGGCTGATGCAGGAGGCAGCCCCCACCCTTGGGGGGCCACAGTGGGTGAGGGAGTCAGGATAGCCAGGAAGAAAGACAAAAGAACACTTACAAAGCAGCCTAGTTGCAAATTAATGGAGCGCAAACGAAAACTGCTCCAAGTGCTGAAGGAATGCACAGCAATGGGGGAGACAAGCTGTCGTATGGCGGTGGGCTGGGACCAGGCTTACTTGCCTCTGGCCTCAGCTTATTCTCTCTTGGAGGAGCACTCAGAGCCTGCGTTTCCTGCTAGGATAAGAAAGCAGTGGGAACTCAGCATGCCCAGTTGTCCTTGACTCTGAGACTGAAAGGAAGAGTCTCAAGACAGAAGCAGAGGAGTGTCTCCCCAGGCTTCCTCACCTGAGCACTGGGCTGCCTCTGAGGGCACGGACACACACACAGGTAGTGTCCCCATGCTCTCTACTAGGGGCTGCAGAGGGTCACACCCCACACCCTCCCTGCAGCAGAACTTCACCAGCCATGCTGTGGAGGAAGCTAGTTTTAGATTCAGGGCTGGGATTAGCCCCCCAAATGTAATCCCCCAACTCAGAGGCAGGTGCCTGTGCTGGATCAGGAGGTCTATAGCTCACTCCCCACTGCCCACCCCCAGCCCTGCATCTCCAGCCCTGGGATGGGGGGAGGAGGGGCAAGGCACCAGGCTGGGACTGAGCTGGGTTGGGGTCCAGGCTATACCCTCATGGTGGGTTCCTGAGTCCACTCCCCCAGCCTCCTTCAGTCTCTGGGATCCGGGTCTTTCCTTTCTCCCAGGCATTCACACATCTCTCCATCTGCATATTTTAACTCCCTCTGCTGCCTTTCCCATCCCTCCCTGCCATCTCCCTCTCCTCCGCCCCTCCCCCTGTCCTGCTGTGTTCACTCTCCTGCCTGCTCTGGGCTGGGACTTCTGAGGCTCCTGTTTGGCTACAGCCTGGGGCCTGCCTGCTTCCTGAGTTGGTGGCACAGGCCTGGGGCTTCCTGGACCACCTTTCCAGTGGGAACTTCAGACAGCCGCCCCTGAGTGAGGAACCAAGGTCACAGCCCCATGCCAAAGGGGGGTTCTGTCCAGTGTCCCCACCAGGAGGTCCCAAGGATGGAGTCCATGGCCTGCTCCTCACCTGCTGAGGTGGGGGGAGATTCATTCTTTCTCCTTGCCCTCTGGGACCTTCAGGACTGTGCCTTCAGGGACTTCACAGCCTCCAGTGACTGCTGGTGTAGGGAGGGCAGCCCCGCCTTCCACAGCCTTTTCTGAGCAGGGGCCCCAGGCCCAGTGTGCACATTTGGAGAGTAAATGAGCCTTGTGTCCCATCCTCCTACTCCTGCTGGAGAAGCTGATCTCAGGGCCTGTCTCAGCCTTACTCCTGTCCCCTCCATGATTCCTAAGAAAGCCCAGGAGGTCTTAGGCTGAGTCCAGCGAGGGTGTGGGGCCAGAGGGAGGAGAAGGAGGGAATAGGGTGCTGGACCGAGGGGGTAGATCAGAGGGGTTTGAGCTTCATTAAGGCATCTTTGTCCTTCTGCTCTTAATCCTGCAGAAACTCCCCTCTCCAGTAGCTTAATTCAGGCTTAATTCAGATGCTGGGGTTTGGGCCAGTGGGAAGGGCTGGAGGACAGTCTAGCCACAGGATCCTACTTTTTCCCGCACGTGAGTTGGACAATAACAGCAGTAATGACGCAGAATTACTGAGCACTTTCTGTGTGCCAGGCCCGAGCTAACCCTTTTACTTACATAGAGTTTGCCAGTAATTGGATCTTTATTGATACCTGAGCAGGAACATCCTGGGACAGGGTTTCTTAGAAGTATGGTCTGAGGATCCTCATTTTAGACTCATGGAGGATTGCTTAAAATGCAAATTCTGCAGTCTAATACTAACCAAACCAGGATCTCGTTGTTGTAAGGGGCCCTTGGGAGTCTGCATTTTTAACCAGCTGCCCAGACCATTCCGACACACACTACAGCTTGAAAACTGCTTCTCCTTATTTTGCCATTTGCTCAGGGCCAGGTGCTCTTGGGATTCTTGTCCCAGGAGGGGAGGATGATATAGGGCTTGCCTTCCCCCTACACTGGGGTCTTGCCCCTAGTGGGGGCCTCTCCCCTGCCTTTGGCCATGGCTAGCCCTGTTGCAGTGGGGGAGGGGCAAGAGCCCTGATTATATCCTCTTCACCTGGGAGCTGGTCACGTGGAGGGCGCCACAGTTACTGAGGTTCGATTTAGTACCACCCAGCATCCCCTGGCAAGTAGTCTAGTCATTCATCTTGCTGCTCCCCCCCACTCCCTGCCAGGCCTCCCCGAGTGGAATGCATATCTGCAGCTGGTATGGCCCCCACCCTTTCTGGGGAGCTTGTTTTGTTATGGAGCTGGAGGACCCAAGGCCCTGGAGGGAGGTTTTTCATAACCCTCTCTGCCCAGGAATTCCATCTCCACAGCCTGCTGTGGGGAGTGGGTGCCAGCTGTGACATGCTGGTGATGAGGCAGGAGCCAGGAGCAGCTAGAGGTGACAGCACTCTCAGGGAGTCAGGAGTCCAGGCAATAGCCCTGCCTCCCTCCAGCAGACCTGGCCTTGGCCTTGGCCTTGGACAAGTCACTGTCCCTCTCTGTGGCTCTTGGATCGAAGTTTATGGAAGTGGCCAGTGAGGTGTCTTCTGTTCCCACACTGGAGGAGGATCACCCCCTCCTGGCTGTGTGTGTGTGTGTGTGTGTGTGCACTCTTTGTCTCCTCCCCTGGACTTGGCACCTACTCTGGTTTGTTTGCTATTTAATTATGTGCTGCCTTTAAGAGTGATCTTACTTTCCTGTGTGTCTCCCCAGGAATAGGGGCCAACAGCCTCTTCCATCATCTCTCCCACATGTGGCCACCTTGGCACAGGGCTGGACACACAGTGGGTGGGTGCCCCACAAGTGCTTGTTTATGACATGAATAGTTGGGAGTTTAACCAGTAATGTCCTTCAAGGCAGGGCCTGGGGAGAGGAGGCCAATCAGGGAAGTCCCCAAAGATGGAATTTTGCTCCATCTATTTAGCTGGCACTGGTGCTGAGCCTCTGAATGGACCCCAGCATGGTGGCTAGCCACTAGTGCACCCCATCTTTGGGTCTTATGGGGCTCCCCGTTCTCCTCCACAGGACGGCTCTGCTGCAGGCACGCCCCCGGCTGCTCCTCCCCATGCAGAGCCTCGTGTGCTTGGCAGCATTCGGCCTGGCCCTGCCGCTGGCCATCAGCCTTTTCCCGCAGATGTCAGAGGTCAGTGGGAAGGGGCCCAAGGGCAGGG